GCCCACCCCTGCCTCTGGAGTACAGGAATTAAAGGCATGCATCACCATGCCCAGCAAAATGTAATATTTTTAAAAGAAATTTTAAATCTTTCCATAAAGAAAACAACAACTGAAAAGATTGTTTTTTGATGAATCCCACCAAACTTTCCAGAAGTGAATAAGTCTAACTGTCCATGATAAAGGAAAAAGAGCAGAAACCCAGTGCATTTTTAAAATTCTGACACCAAAACCAGACAGGAGAAGTACAAAGCAGAACCTTGTGGAGAAGAGCCTACCCAGAAAGACCTCTTAAAGATCTTGAACAATGGCTACAGTAAGTTTGAAGATGTAAAAGTGTCACTCACTTCATTAACAAATGAAAGGGAAACCATGGCTATTGCAGTAAGTACAGGCAAGAATGGCTGGTAAGTTTAATGACTGTTTAGTCTAAAACCCACTTAGCAAACTGAAAACTGAAGGGAATTATTAACCCCCAAACCCTCATCAAACCAGTCTCCATGTTTAAATGTTGGAAGCATCTTCTTAAAGCCAATAACTCAAGACAAAGATGCCTACCTGATGTGACACTTCTACTCACTATAATACTACAGGTATGTAGTTAGAGCTTCAATTGCTAAGACCACAGCAACTCTTACAAAGGAAAACAATTAATGGGGCGGCTTATAGTTCAGAAGTCAGTCCATTATCATCATGGTGGAACACAGTGGCATGCAGGCAGACATGGTGCTGGAGAAGGAGCTGTGAACTTTACATCTTGAGCCGTAGGCAACAGGAAGTGGTCTGAGACACTGGGCATGGCTTGAGCATATATGAGATTTCAAGGCCCGCCTCCACAGTGACACACTTCCTCCAACAAAGCCACAGCTCCTAATAGTGCCACTACCCTTGGGGACCATTTTCTTTCAGACCCCCACAAGGTACTCAACAGTGAAGTTCAGAAAACCATGTAAAGAAAAGCCTAGAACAGTGTTTCTCAACGATGTGGGTCAAGACCCCTTGGAGGGGGTTCACATATCAGATATCCTGCATATCAGATATTTACATTGTGACTCATAACAGTAGCACAATTACAGTTATGAAGTAGCAACAAAATAATTTGATGGTTGGAGGTCACCACAACATGAGGAACTGTATTAAAGGGTTGAGGCGTTAGGAAGGTTGAGAACCCCTGTCCTAGAAGAAATGGAAGTGCTAGTGTCTGCAGATCCTTTGCGACACTGGAAACCTGAAAGATTCTGCAGATACATTAGATATAAGAACGTCTATGGAGGAGTATGAACTTAAGGTCAAGCCACGTATCAAAAATCAACTACAAGCTGGGTGTGGTAGCACACACCATTAATCCAATCACTCTGGAGGCAGAGGCAAGAGAATCTCTGTGAGTTTCAGGCCAGCCTGGTCTACAGAGTAAGTTCCAGGACAGCCAGAGCTACAGTGAAATCCTGTCTCCAAAAGAGAAAGAGAAAAAAAAGAAATGATGGAGAGAGCAAGGGAAGGAGCTGTTTTTAAGTGCACTGCTTGCAATCGAAGTAAAAAATAAGAACTAGTAAAATGGCTCAGCAGGAAAGGGGGCTTGCCACTAAACCTGATGGTCTGAGTTCAAATCCTAGGGGACCCACAAAGTAGAAGAAAAGAACTGACTCCTAAAAATTGTCCTCTGACCTACACACACACACACACACACACACACACACACACACACACACACATACACAATTTTAAGTTCCTGAGTAGGCGACCTGGAGAAGGTACAGCTTAGTGTAAGACACTGCCCTTAGAGTGCACCAAGCCTGGGTTCAGTCCTCAGCACCAAAGAGTAGAGAGCCTGACATAGCTCCCAAAGGATGTACAAGAGTTTATGGAGAAAAATGTAGAGTAAGTTAGCAAGGCGACGTGTCATGTTCATGCACAGCGTCCATGAGAGGAAAGATGTCTTGTAAGACCTCAGTTCTCTTAAAATTGATCCATAGATCTGATATGAAGCCACTCGAAAATAGTTCTAAAATTTGTTGGCAAAGAGATTGAAGACACAAAACACATGAAGAGCAAAGGGGGTGGGTACATCTCAGATACCAAGACAGCGAAGAGCACCCCATGACTTCAGCCCAGGGGCCACAAAACCGGCCCAATAGAAGAGAACCAGAACTCAGTCCACACATCACAGCACTGTGGCGGACTGGTGGGGACAGTGAGAGGTCTTAGCAGGTAAAGGCGCCTGCCGCACAAGCCTGGCGACCCGACTTTGATTCCCCAAACCCACCGAAATGCAGAGGAAGAAGACAGACTCACAAAGCTGTCCTCCAGCCTCTGCATGTCCGCAGTGGCACGAGCCTCCCCACCCCAGGTCAGATACACAGAAAATAAATCAAAGCAGGCTTTTAGGAAAGAAAATGATACAGAAGTTGCTCATTATTCCTGCGGATTAAAGAAAATCCTTAATTCACGCCACTCCCAAAAATAGATTCCAGAGAAAGATTTAAATATGAATTGCAAAATATGAAGTTTGAGGGAACTAAGGGTTAAAAATGCTTAATGACGTGTGTGTATGTATGTACGAATGTGTATGCATGTGTATGTGTGTGTGCATGTGTGTACATGTGTATATGTGTGTATGTGTGTGGTGTGTGTGTGTGTGTGGTGTGTGTGTATGCGTGTGTATATGTGGGGTGGGGATGTGTGTGTATGTGTGCATGTGCACACTCCTGTGGATGTAGCTGTGGGTGGGTGCCCATGCGTGTGGAAGTCAGAGGCTGACACCGAGTGCCCTCTCCACCTCATTTTTCAGGACGGGTCTCTCCCTGGACCTGGAGCTCACCACTTCGGCTCCACTAGCTGACCAGTGAGCTCCGGGGACCTCGTGTGCCTAGCCCTTAAAGGCTGAACCACCTCTCCAGCCCTTGCTTGGCCTTTGAAAGGTTGGTTCTGGGGCTTGAACTCAGGTCCTCACACTTGTGCGGCAAGCGCTTTACCCACAGAGTCATCTTCCTGGCCCCTGAGAAGAAATCAAAGAACAGGAGAAAGAGGAAGTCACAGAGAAAAGAACTGTAAGGACATTAAAATAAAGACCTTCCTATTCCTCCAAAGATGCTATAAATAACCCGGAAAGATGAGCTACAAACTGGGGAAAGATATTTGCAATTCATAGGCAGCAAATGATTATTATCCTGAATATATAAAGAACTCCTAAAAACCACTAAGAAAGCAACCAAAAAAACCTAACAGAAAATGAGGTGAAAGACGTGAGCAGGCGTCTCACGGAAGAAGAGGCCTGAATGCCAATCATGCCTGGAAAATGTGTTCAACCTCATTAGCGCTCAGAGAAATGCAAATGAAGACTATAGAAAATCACCCTTCCATACAAACCAGCTCCGCAATGGAAGGAGGCTGGCGAATCCTAATCCTGGTGTACAGCAACAAAGCCTCTCACACCAGAAGGGGCGAAGCGAAACTGCTTTGGGAAACATCCTCGTCCCGTCTCAGGAGGTGGAAGGCGCACGTACTTCATCATCCAGTGAGTCTAGGATCTCACAGGCAGGAGTGTCTAAAGACCTGCGTAAAGGTTCTCAGAAGCGCCACTGTGCCCACAGGAAACCAGAAGTGATAAATAGTCACAAAGAGCGCAACTGTGGCATAACCATACACCAGAGAACAGTTCATGAATGACAGCAAAGCCGAATGTCCACATGGGCAAGTGTGAGAACATGACATTGGCTTGGACAACAGCGTGGGGATTCCTTCTTACAAAGCTAGAACATGAGTAAAATTACACAGTGTGCTCTTTAGGGAATATGTACGCATGGAATAACTGACCTTAAAAGGCCAGATAGTTGGGCAGACAGACTGGAGAGACGGTGCAGATGTTAAGGGCTCATTGCTCTTTTGTTGTTTGCTTTCAGATGTCTTTTTGTGAGGGGTGCCGAGGTTAGAACCCAGGGCCTCCTATGTGCTACATGAGCATCTGCCACTGTACCACCTCCCAGAACATACTGCTTTTGCAGGGGACCGGGATTCAATTCCCAGTACCCACACCACCTCCAGGGGAACCCAATGCCCTCTACTGTCCTCCTTTGGTACTGCAAGCACGTGGTGTACATACAGACAGACATACAGGCAGACACACATAAAACAAAATTTTAAAAAATCTTTTAAGACGAAGGCAAGATAATTGTGAATAAAAGTTTCAGGGAGTATTTATCCGAGAGGACAGCAGGGGTAGCTGGGAAGCAGGACTCTGCTGCAGTTCTGAGCAGCCAGTGGTTCACTGGTACTCGGTATGATTATGGCTTTAGGCACAAGCAGTGTCTCAATGGTGTTCTCTATTTTCTTTTGTATAAATCAACACTAGCCAGGTGGTGATGGTGCATGCCTTTAATCTCAGCCCTCAGGAGGCAGAGGCAGGTGGATCCCTGTTAGTTCAAGGCTATGCTGGTCTATGAAGTGAAACAGAGAAACCCTGACTCAAAATACCAAAACAACAACAACAACAAAGTAAAAAGGTGGAGAACAAAAGAAGTCAGGGCCCAGCACCTAGCAGGTGACTCTCTCTGCTCTGGCAATTGGGACACAACACCAAGTAATTCATATATGCTATCTCATTTGGACATCACAGCAGCCCTGTGGAGAACTGGTCTACCAGTAGAGGTGACCTTCTTCCCACTTTGTATGTGAAGAAACAGACGTCTAGAGAGCTTAATTAAGCAACTTGCCCTAGGTCACTCAGGCCTTATAAAGAAGAGATCTCAGAGGCCAGTCCAGGGCTGTGTGACTGCAGACTGGTTGTCTCCACACCCTCAACTACTGGACCCCAGTGTGGCGAGCAGGAGATGCCCAATAAGAGGTGAGGGTGTGCTCATCACCTCCCTGCTGTGCTGGCAGAGTTCCGCTAAGCCCCTCCAACCCCACGTATTCTTTAAAGCATTTCTGGGCCAACATTAGCACACAGAAGGCAGGACTCCGTCCTGTGACCTGTGAGCCTGGGGGTTGGGATGGCCAGTACTTACCCCGAGGACTGTAGCCAGGAGCATCCATGAAGGACAGGCCCAGGCGCTCATCCTCCTGCAGGGTGCTCTGGTCCGTGAAGCTGCGGTCCACAGCACCCATCATGTGACTCTTCTCCTGGCGGTAGTTGACTGTGGCCTTAGTCATGTTCACTGGCTTCCTGCAGAAGGGGACAGTTGGAGACACTGGAACTGTGAGTGGAGCCAACAGCTCCCAGAGATGGGAGGGAAGGTCCAGCTCTCAGAGCCTTGGGATCAGGAGTCAGCAGCATTGCGAATGTATCTCCAGATACAGAAGCGGCATGGCCTATCCTCTTCACTCACCAGTCAATAGCAGCCATGATAGCTAGGACCTTGTTTCCTATGCCTTCTGGCCCCAAGGTCTCAGGAGACAGAGCGCCAGCTCACTCTAGACCTAATTAGGTGTTACTGCAGAGCCACACTCCCACAAACCGGAAGGAGATTAACCCAGATAGCCCCAAACACCCACCTCCTGCAAGCCCCTGCCTGGGAGCTCCCTCCATCCTGCAGGAGAACTAGGGCTTTCTGAGGGTGGGCCAGGGTCTGCTCTGCCAGCTCAGGGGTCTCCCAGGGAGCACCAGCTCCACGAATCCTATCACCCACCTGCCTGGCCAGCAAATGAATGTGGCAGAAGGAGGAGAGCCACCCTGCTTGGGACACTTCGTGGGTGGAGACCTCAGTCTGTGACTCCCAGGCTCTCGGGTATGAAGCAGAAGCACAGCTCTGCAGCTAAAAGGGCAGGATGTCTACACAGAAATGACCTGGGGCCATGTGGAGGCTGAGAAGACCCTGCCAAGCTGGCTGAACAGTGAGACCCAATAGAACCCTTCGGTGAGTGGATACTGGCCTAGAAGGCAGTCTCCAGTGGTAAACCACAAGGCTCTGTTCCCGGCCAGGGGATCTCAGCCTCCTTGGAAAAACTACAAAAACAAACCCATCAGGTCCACAGGAGACAGAGCATGGGGACTGACGGAGGACACCTGACTCCACCGGCCTCTGGCTGATCCCAGTGTGAAGAGGAGGTGGATGGAATTTAATGTACACACTCAAAAGTTCCGAATTTAGGTTCAAAAATTATCTACATGAATTCATGGGGAGGAAAAGCAGCCATGTCAGCAATTCCTTGGAGTGAGGGGAGGAAACGTGGGGGCTGGTGCTGGGAACCAGCAGGGTGAGGGACAGGTTCAGGAAGCATGGGGGCAGGGGAGGCGGTGAACCTCAGTGGAGAGAGGTCACTGAGCCCCAGGAAGGTGATGTGAGCTGCAGGGTGGCTGGAAGGAGGACAGAACCAGCTGACTAGAGAAGCATTGCTGTGGCAAAGGGTAAAGATGCCATGAGGGAGGGAGGCCGTGGAATGGGCTGGCATTGGCAGCCGGAGAGGGAGGGAGAGAGAGAGAATGATCAGGAGGGCAGGGACTGGGGGCCTGGGGTGGTCAGAATTACTCACGGGTAGTAGGAGTAGGCATAGCGGTCTCTCCTGGCAGCGTGCAAAGAGAAACAGCAATGTGACCAGGCTCCCCTCCCAGAAGGAAGGGACCACACAGGTCAAGGGGCCATCCTTAGTCTAAAGACTGGCCAGACTGTCACTGTGAGCGCAGACTGAAAGCCCTTCCGGAATCTTCCCTCAGTGTGCTGCTGAGGGAGGCGAAGAGTCTGAGGGCTGCACAGTTTTTGCAGTCACACATACATGTGCAGAGACAAATACACACACACACATGCACACTCACACATAACAGATTCACGTATGCATACACTCATACACAGAAATACACACTGGCATATACATCCACATGTATTCAAACCCTCAAAGGCACCTTCCCCCATCCATGCCTGCTCTGGCCTTTGCAGACAGCCCCCACCCTCAGGCTCTCCTCTGCGGCCTCCACAGCCCCTGAGCAGCAGCCCAGCACATACACCTCAGCCTAGGAAGGAGAGTAGCTAGGGTCAAGGAGAGGCAGGGTGAAGAAGCCCCAGCAGGGTGAAGAAGCCCCAGCAGGGTGGAGAAGCCCCAGCAGGGTGGAGAAGCCCCAGTAGGGTGGAGAAGCCCCAGCAGGGTAGAGAGGCCCCAGCGGGATGCCTAGGCAAACCTAGGGCCCACCCTTCCCACCTTGACTGACTCTGACTATGGGCCTCATTAAGGAATGAGGAATATTAAGGAATATCCACTGGATACCCAAAGCTTGTGTGAAAAAGCCTCACATTGAACTAAGACTGCTATTAGTAGAACACTTGCATGCTCAAGGCTCAGGGCTCAATCTTCAGCACTGAAAAAAAAAAATCCCATTTCACAGATGAGAAAACTAAGTCACAAGCTGTCATGGCAAAGGCCAGAGCCCCCCAGGTCTCAGCATACTTGTCTTGGGACTCTGGCCCAGGAACTCTGGTGCTCCCTCCCAAGGCCCCATCAGGCCCAGGGGTGGATGTTGTACCTCCTACTCAATCAATTATATTTGCAACACAGGCTGATCTGATACATGTTCAGACCCCACAATGCAAACGGAGGGGGGGGAGCCCTGAGGAGTGTACTGGCTCCCCAAGGCCAGGACCAGGGGCACAGTGATGGCCACAGTGGAAATGAGTGACTTTTAGAGGAAGTAGCAACATGCAGTGCTGGGAGAGAGAATGGTCTTAGAGGTCCCCAAGATAGCCTGGACAGGTATTGAGATGAGTTAGTGACTGTATAATGAGGGCAGTCTCCTAGTGACACCCTGACTATACACCTATGACCCACCCTGTCCTGGCCAAAGCTCTATTTGCAGGGTGTGGGGATGATATTCCACATGGCTGACTCTCTCTCCTCAGGGGAGATTTCTAGGAACTCAAATATACCCCAGCGGTTCCACTTACAGCCTCCTATACCACGCTCTACTTAGAGGTCCCTCTCAGGCACAGGCGCAGAGACTCGCCATTGGCAAGGCAACCTACCATGAGGCCTTCACATCTGCAGTGAAGTTCAGAAGCTTGAGTTCAGAGCAATCCCCACCACTATATCTAGAGACGCGGGCCACTCACTTTAATTACAGCTTCTCCGTCGGAGAAAAGGGAGCCAGGCCTGCTATTTGTCAGGATCCAAGAAGGAAATGTTCTCGGATAGACCCCAAGTGCCAGAACCTCGCCTGGCACATTCTGGGTACTCAGTAGCTAACGCTCCTGGCACCCAGTCATTCCTCATTAAGTGATCATTAAAAATAGTGTGTCTCAAGACACTGTTCTTCGACTTCAAAAGAAAAAAAAAGTCTGAGCCTGAATCCAGGATAGGCCATCCCCCACACAACCTCCATTCCACTGGCACACCCTATCTCTACTGCTGATGGCCCTAGCCAGCTCTTTGTCCCCTCCCTGGATCCTACTTATCTGCTCCTGGCAGCCCAGAGAGCCAGTGCCAACCAGCCTGTGTGTGCCCAGCCTGGCAGCAGCAGGGGCTACAGAAGCCAGAGTCCAGATGGGGAAGGAAGAGGCTGGCTCCGCCTCTGGCTCCTAGGGTGACCTTGGGCAGGTCCACTGCCCTCTCTAGGGCTCAATTATGGTACTTGAGCCACCATGTTCTGGAAACGCCTGGTGAGAACGAGGTAGTGTGTGGCTGCAGGCAGAGGGGTCTGAAGAGTTCCCACCCTGCCTCCAACTCAGCTTAAATCACTGGGCTGCAGGCGGGGAGGTTGTTTTTGTTTTAGCGCTTTGAGCTTTTGTTTTGTTTTTGAAATGGGATCTCATGTAGCCCAGGCAAGCCTTGAACTCAGTAGACAGCAGAGATGACAAAGATGGGCCTTGAACTTTTGATCTCCTGCGTCCATCTCTGGAATGTTAGGATCACACATGTGGGCCATCATCTCTGGCTTATACCAGGCTGGGGACCAAACCTAGGGCTCCGTGTATGCTAGGCCAGCACTCTGCAAAGTGAGGGGATCATCAGCTTTGACAGGCTCCATTGCTGTGAAACCATTCTCAACACTAGACCAGATGTCCTTCAACTCCCTGGCAGCTCGCACTCTGGGGCTCTGAGCTTGCACAATCCGTCATGGCAGATACCTTGGCTAGAGGGCCAAGTCACTGTCAGGTCGCCACCGTGCCGTCCTATTGGAACAGCCCCTGTAGGGCAAAGGAGGGCAGTGCCTGCTTCCAGCGCAGCTCCTTGGCACCAGGCAGAGTACCCATTCCTGGAGAGTGGCTCCTGGCACCAGCCAGACCTGTGCTCCAGCCACAACAGTGCCCTTTGCTGAGTCTGACTCCCGCTGCCCAGTGTGTGTTAATCCACAGGCCCAATGCCCAGGCTGGCAACCCTCCACATACGTTACCACCGGTGGCGGGGGGGGGGGGGTGCGTGACGGAGTCTGCTCTACCAACCCCTGCCATGGCTCCTCCGTGCCCAGCAGGCCCTCCAGGGACAGGAAGCCCCTACTCACCCTTTGCGAATGATGACAATGATAGCCCCCAGGAGGAGAATGAGAACAGCGAGGCCACCTGCACAGATGCCCAGGATGAGCCCCATCTCCTCGGATCTCTGGGACACTTCGAGGGGTCGCTTGCTCTCCTTGCAAGCAGCTGGGAAGAAGAAACAGGACAGAGAATCAGAGACCACCTGGCCCTACAGGCCAGGATCCCAGCACCGAGAGGCTGAGCACGCTGCCCAAACACGCGCACACCAAGGCCCAGCGCTGCCTCTAGGCACTGCCTCACCTTTCAGTCAGAGATCTGTCTCCTCGCCCCACCTCTCAGGCAAGAGCCTGCCTTCCATGTTCCAGGTCAGTCTCCCTCAGCCTGCTCGCCTCCTCTCAGCCCCCCTGGAGCGCCCCCCACCCCGAACTTCAGACAGAGAACTGGAGACACCTGGGGCCGTCAGGCCTACCCTCTGGCTCTCCTTGGAAGGGGAAAGGTACCTGTGCCACAGATGAGACATCCCAGGATGTAACCAACCACATTCCATGTCTAGAAGAGGGATGGTCCTCACACCACAGCCTCCCTGCCTGGCCCCACCTGTCTTTCCCACCACAGGAAAAGGAACATACACAGACCCCAGAACCAGGGACCAGGGACCACCACCCTCAAGACACAAGCACCTTGGCTTTCTCTCCGTAGGCTGGACCCTGTCTCTGTCAGGGGCCCTTCTGTCACTATGGGGAGTGTGAAGGGTGGGAGAGACTGCCTGTTGTCCAGCTTGAGAGAAGAAGCCCCTGAAGTGGGCATCAGGGGATTGAGACCTTCCTGACCGGGGCCTGCCAACCACAGGCCTAGGCTCTCATAGCCCTGCCTGCCCCGGGTCCCCTGGAGACGTACAGATGAGAGGCCATGCCTGGGCAAGGCTGAAGACACCCATCCAACTCACCTTTCCTGGCAATTCGGATGCAGTTCAGCCGGGTTTCCTGGAAGTACAGATGAAGGGGCTCAGAGACACAAAACCCAAACGCACACTCTTACAGCTCAGGAACCCTGGTCGGGATCGCTTGTACTCGGCCAAGACTCACATGCCAGACACAAACTGTTAACTAAGGACACTCCATAGAGCTGTGCCTTGAGACCAATGAGATCAGAGGACCCAAAAACAGCATGAGAAAGTGGGGTGGAGCCTCGGACATGGGGGCAGGAACTAGATCTGGGGTCTGTTAAAAAGAAAATGGAAGAAGCCAAGGCTGGAGCACTAAGGTCCCAGAAGCCCAGAGAAGAGGGCAGAGCCCAGGGAGGAAGGAAAGTCTGGGGTGGAGATGGGGTCTGGGACTGTAGTGGTGGACGTCTTGGGAAGAGGTATCTGAGAGAAGGCAGGACCTCAGGAAATAAGGGAGCCTGGCCAACAGGAGTGTTGGGTCATCTGTGGGAAGAAGCCTGGGATCTGGAGGGTGAGGCTCAAGGAGAGGTTGGGGTATAGGGGAGTCTAGGACCAGGTCTCGGGCCCCAGTGGTAGGTCCCCCCAAAGGCTCCCCACCCTACAGCCCTCGACCCCAGTCTACACCACCAGGACCCGGCTGGCCCCTCACCCCTTTCAGGTGACTTGCTGCCTGGAAGTAGATGAGGTAGGCCTTCCTGGGTTCAAGCGGCGGGTTCCAGAAGCCACGATAGGTCTGGTTGTCACCCACAGTGAAGGGCATGGCCTCAAGCAGGCTGCTGGCAGCCAGTTCAGCCCCGAAGTAGTGCACCAGGCCGCGAGCCAGCGCTGTCTCGAAGGTCAGAGGTACGGAGAAGCAGTCCTGACCTCCCGGCTCCCGCCGCAGCCGCCGTGGCCTCTCTTCCTCCACAACCACCTGGTACACGCTGGACAGGGGACAGACGGTGCAAGTGACCACAGAGGGCCCAGACAGCCTTCAGTCGTGAAGGTTGGGGGCCTTCGTTCTGCCTCTTTCTAGCCCAGCAAGTCACAGAAACTCCCAAGCCTCAGTTTCCTGAGAATGCCTCTGCCTTCCCTCCAGTTTCCAATGCAGAGAGTCAGTTCACTGCCTGTCACAAAACTACTGCAGACACCAGCCCAGATCCCTCTCAACAGCCCCCCATGCTAGGGTCAAGCCTCCCCCAGCTCCAAATGCTCCCAGGAGGTGACAATAATTCACATTAGCCCAAAGCTGAAAGGATGTCTAAGGAAACAGAGCCTCAGAGAGATGAGGGTCATCCTGTCCACCATGTCCCATCTCCTTATTCCCATCTAGCTTGACCAGTCCAGCTCACAGGATCCCTCAAGAGGACACGGAGGGAGAAGTTTCCCAGGTCCTCCCTGGTGATGCCACACAAGGACCTGGAGACATCAGCAAAGAACGTAATACCTACAGGGCCCCAGAGTCAGCCCAAGGCAAATATGGACGAGACCCAGCAGGTGAGGAAGAGAAGGTCAAGGACAGGATGAGAAGGTGGAGGGTTACCTAGGACATGTGACCAATCTAACCACCTTCGTGGGACAGCCCCCAGCCCCCACTAAAGGAGGAGACCCAAGTGGCAGAGAGGCTCTGTGACTTTCAAAAGTCACACCTACCCTCACGTCTCCATGCCAGACACACCACAACAGCAACCCTGAGATGACCCTGCTCACACACTCCCCATCTTTACTCCAGCACGCACACACACACACACACACACACACACACACACACACACAGCCAGCAGAGGCAGCCATTCTGACATCAGTAATTAATCCCAGAGTCCTCTAGAGAGTAGGGAGCAGAAAAGCTATGTGCTAGGCCATCCCCATGGAGATGGCCTTAACTGGCTGGTTCCCTAGCCTTCTAGAATGCCCATCCCTGTATCTCCAGGAACAGAGCTAGTTAGAAAATACAAGGCCCCAAGAGTTTCACTTCTCCTAAGCATCTAATGAACCACCCTGGGGAGGCCTAGCTCCTTCTCCAAACTGGACATTGTCCAGGAAACCCATGATAGTTACCAGCAGAGACCTGTGGTCTTGAATGGAAATGAGTAGCTTCAAGCTTTCCACTGCCCAGAATCATGATGTACCCTCCTCAACCCTGGGCCCAGGCAGGAAATAGGATAACCAGAGAGCTGGCCAGATCAGAGAGGCCTGTTGCCTACCCTCTCCGTACTGGTTTTCCCACCTGATGGGTGCTCCGCGACCCTGGGCCGGCCTCAGCAGCACTGTGATGGTGTTCTCAGACTCACCCAGGGGTGACGGCATGTCAGCATAATCAAAGCTGGGAGCTGAGAAGAGACAGGGACACAAGCATGGTGCCTGGCCACCTCCAACCCCCTTATCCTCATGTTCCCCTGATCTAAGCTTCCATGAACCCCGGTCTTAAGCACTGACCTCTGACCTCAACCCTCTGATTCTACCCACCATAGTCTCCTGACCATGCTATTTAGTCCTGACTCCTGACTTGAAACCTTTAAATGGTTCGTTTATCTCAGCTAGGCCCTCTGTACCCACACTAGGCTGCTCCACCCTTCAATATCCCTGGAGCCCTGGAGCCGAAAGGCTCCCTCCCAAGGAAGCTTACCTGAGATGTTGGTAGTAATCTCAGTGAGAGCTGCCTGGCCGAAGCCCTTGCTGGTGCGGGCACGCACAGAGAAGAGGTAGGTGGTGCCGGGGTGCAGGTTGGAGAAGACATGGTAAGTCTCATTTCGGAGTTTGGAGATGGTGCGTCGCGGGCCAGGCACGTTCACTGCTGGGTCCGAGGACTCGATGCTTTGGTAGCTGATCTGGGGCCAGAAGAAGCAGGTAGGTGGAACAGGACAAGGACGGCTGCCCTATGCCAGGAACCCCACCCACCATCCACTATAATCCATGGAAACTAGAGATGTACTGGGCTGCCCCGCCCCCCCCAACACTCAGACCTCACAGGGCACAGACTCCGGCCATCATGGAAGTAGCTTTAAGGCCCACTTCTGTCCTCCCCCAGGTCTCCCTCTCTGCCACAGCACAGGAAGGAACTTTGACCTCCCACCTGGGCCCCTGTTCACCTCATACTGAGTGATGAGGCCATTGGGCTCCTGGGGCTCCTCCCACTTGAGAAAGATCATGTCCTCCAGTGGAGTGAAGGTTAGGGACTCGGCTGCAATCCCACCAGGCACTGGGAGGGAAGGGTGGAGGAGGCAGAGGAAAGTGGGCTTTGGCTCCAAATACCAGAGTTCATGTGTCAGCCTTGCCTCTTCCTAGCTGTTCTGCTTGGGCCATTCTCCCTGACCCTCAGTTTCTGCATCTATGAAATGGGCATGACGAAGACCCTCTCTCACCAGAAGTAAATAATGTGAGGTATGCAAAGTTCAAAGCTCATGTGGCCCATTCCATAGGGGCCAAGGCATTCCTTCCACTTTCAGCAGGTTCCACTCAGGCTCCTGTTTATCGCCAGCTGGTAGCGTTCATGAAATACAGATATTTACCAGATCAAGAAAAACAATTGCAACAGGGAGTCGGGATCATGGGTGGATATGTTTTCCTGTCTAAAAAGATCATAATTACATAAATGGTCTCAATGAGACTGAAGATAATTAACTGACAATTGATATAACTGACAATTACACCATACACACGTGCTATGAAAATTTCCACACGTGCACTGGGAGGTAGGTCAGTTTAGCTTGGGCTGCATTGCACACTCTTAGCAAGCATGGAGCGGGCAGCTTCTGAAGGGGAAAACACTTTGATCAGCTTCTGTGAGGAAGCAGAGGCCGTCAGGCAGGGACAGTGGACGGAAGGGTAAGAGCCAGTGAGAGCTGGGCGGAAGAGTCGGCTCGGGTCAAGCATGAGGACCTGAGTCTGGATCCCCAACAGCCATGCCAAAGCCAGGACTCCGGTGGGCATCTGCAACCCAGCTCCGGGGGTTGGGGACAGGGGCAGGTGGTTGCTTGGGGCTCGCTGGCCGTAACTGGCCAGCTGAGCTGAAGTAAGGAGATCCAGGCTCGGTGAGACCTTGTCTCGAAAAATAAGTTGGAAAGCAATAAAGGAAAACATCAACCTCTGGCCTACACACACACACACACACACACACACACACACACACACACACACACACACACACACACACACACACACACACACACACACACACACACAAATAATACAATGAAAGCTAAGCATTCAGTTAAAGCAAGAATTCCAAAAATCATTCTCCACCCACCTAAACAGGAAAAAAAAAAAAAACCCACGACAATCAACAATTCCAAGTGACATTAAGATCACAGAACCAAGTTTTCATTCACTGCTTAGTGGAGCATGAATTGGCACAATCACCACCAACTAAAGATGAACACACACCCTTGCAACCTAGCCATCCTCTCCTACACACAGCCACATGACACACGAATATCTACCAAAAATAATCTACACACACTCTCTTCAAAGCATTGTTCAAAGCAACCAAAATCGGAATCTGCCCAGATACTCACCAACAGTTAACAGAAAGTAAATGTGGCGGATTCATTCCTGGAGTGAACCACACAGCAGTGAGACTACATTCATTCACTAGGACCATGCACGCCACAGTCTGGTCTCCAGAGAGCATAATATTCACCAAAACAAGCAGGCATAAGACAAGCATCTACTGTGTGATTCTGCTTACACACAGCCCAGAACCAAGCAAAAATTAATACACAGTGTTATCGGGAGGGATTATGGCTACCCTTGGGAGGCAGTTGACACAGGGAACATTAGTGGCCTCCTGGGGGTTGGTGATGTGATTTCTTCATTTAGATGTGAGTTCCCTGAAGTGTCCAGTCTATGGGAATTTATTGGACTGACCACTTAGGATGAGAGGCCTGGACAGAATGAGGTGGCCTGACCATATGACCAAATGGCATGCAGAGGTCAGGATAGTGGAGTAGTCTGGTGTTCAGCTATAGACTGGGCAAAGCTTTGGGGCAATCCCAGCCATTGCTTGTTCCTGCCCTGAGACACTCTTCAGTGCAGCCTACGCACACGCTCAAGGTGATTGGTGTCTGAGGAGAAAGCAATATGGTGGACTGACTTTTATATGGGCTACCACTATTAGGAATAGAAACTGCACGGGACAGCAAGAAAGCCCACCAGCCAGTCCGCTGACAGGTTCTTGGGAGTCTGCAGGAGTTTAGGGAAGGCGACAGGCGTGTGCTGGCATTAGAGGGCAGCTGCAGGCGCGGCGGGTCTGCCAGGTGTGGTGTTGTGGACCTGTAAGCCCAACATGTGGGAAATGGGAGCAGGAGAACTGCCATGCCATACATCCAAGGGCCGCCTGCACTCCTGGTGAGACTACCGCACAAAACCAAAACCAAAAGTAAGTAACTCAGGGTGGGAGAGAGCGCAGTGCTGAAGTGGGGCTCAGTGCATGCAAGGCGGGGGGCTCCGTCTCCAGCCCGAAACCAAACAACAAAACCAGCATTAGGGCCAGCTTTATAAAGCCCTGCTCTGCCAACCACAGACTTGCTATGTGAGGTCACCTGTCATTACAGGACGAGAAACAGCAGCCCGCCACACAGGGTGGTCATGGGGGCTGAGTGCATGGATACATCGAATCCATCCATGCTGGTGTCTGAAGTGGAGCATGTGCGTTAAGTGCAGACAGTGTGGCCCACATAGAACGCTGCACACAACAGTGGCGGGATGTGATACAGGGGGTGGCTACCAAAGTTTAACCACTTGCTGGACCACGAAGCAAGGGGTCAAGTTTCAAAAGACTAAATTTAGAATTCCTGCTCTGACCACAGTGGCTTAGAGGCCAGGAATCAATAACAAGAAGATAATTAATTAGAAGTCCTCGTTGGTGGACTGGGGCTGTGTCTCAGTGGTAGAGTGCTTAAACAAGGCCCAGGCATCAATATCAATGCCCAGTATGTACACACACACACATACACACATACACACACACACATAAACACATACACACACACACACATACACACACACACACACACACACACACACACA